GCTCTCTGCTCAGAATCTTACTGGGACAAACAAGTTCTCATCCCTGAGCCCTCTACTTCAGCTTCTAAAAGTGATCAGATTGAGAACTGCTTGAAAGAGGAAAAGCCAGATTGGGAAGAAATACAAGCAGTGAAGTGAGACCAACCACAAAGCAGTCTGGTCTGGAAGGTGTCCCTTTGTCCCTCTGTTCTGTTTGTCTCTATCCCAGGTAAGGGAGGAACAAGATACCCAGATGCCCCTTTTCATGTATTCCCACTCTTTTACTCACATGACCTACAGTTTCTACACGGAGCTCTGTGCTCCTTCCCCTTCCACCTCTGTGCATGCAACTAAATGAAATTATTCCTACTTCCATGACTCAGTTTCCGTCTGCATTACCATCTCCTTTCTGAAGCTTCTCCTCTCTTTATTCCTTTTCACTGACTCACTCAGATGTTGAAGGTGAAGGAGGTGAGAACTGGACACCTTGACACACACTTGCTATGTGTGAGGTGTGCATGTGGAATAGATGTCTCACTTTTTCACACTCCAAGTGTGTAGACCACACTTGCCATTCCAGATCTCACGTCACACACCTACAGATCTGTGGGGGGGAATAAGTAAGGAGAAAAATGCAGGGGATGTTCACTGCTCGCTCCAGCTGCTTTACCCCTCTCCTGTCAGCCTCCCACTCTGCTCCCACTCTGCTGAATCTAAAGTGGCTGGATTAGGAGTGGGTGCTCTTTGGCTCCATCTCTCCTGCTGCGGGCGCTATGAGCCACTCATTTACACCTAGCAGGGATCATCCAGCGGGAAAGCAACAGACAAAGTACATACTCCTGCCTCTGACAGGACCTGACCATTGCCAGGGAAGGGGAGCCCAGCAAGCCAGGTACCTGGCTTTGGCAGGTCACACCTGACCCAGAGCCTGAACAATTCATTAACAATGGAGAGCTCTGCCTTCTCCAGCCTGATGCTCCGCGCACCAGCCCAGCTGTCACTTGGGCTGCTCCTTGCAAAACTGCCACACCAACAACACTCAGAGAGGCAGGGCTGCAGCTGGCAGCTGGGGCTGTCATGGGGAGGAATGTGACACATGGCACTCCTAAGAGTTAAGGAAAGTGGTGATGGGGGCAACATGTAGGAGTGTACTGATGGCATGTGGAAGACCTGGGGACCTCTGGCAGAGCAAGACTGAGGCAGTGAGTCCAACCTGACTCAGAGAGGCAACCACTCCAGGGTTTAGACCATAAGCATAGGAACACAGGATGACTGGGTTGGAAGGTGCCTCCTGAGGTGAAAGCTCCAGTTCAAAGAGAGTCAGCTATGAGGTTAGACCAGATTACTCACAGCGTTATCCAGTCTGGTCCTGAAAACCTCAAAGAACGGATACTGAACAATCTCTCCGGGAAACCCGTTACAGCGCTTGACACTTCTCACAGTCAAAAAGTTTTCCCTGACCCTCAGCGTGAGTAACTCTAGTTTCTCTTCTCCCACACCCCAAAAGCACTATTAGTTTGTAATGTCTTGGAATATTTTCCCACCATTTTACATCACATTCACAAAACAGGTTTGCTGCAGGCTTCTGTGCAAAGACGTGAGAGAAATCAGAGAAATCACTGGAAAAAAAAGAGACAGCAATCTTGAGCTTAACATGCTTGAGCTTTCTATTAATTTAAATCCATTCAAGGACCTAAGAGAAACCCTGCCACGCTAATCAGAACAGCCAGTGTTAGGAGATGTCTAAGCTGTAGTCAAAGGTACACTTGAAATGCATTCAGACACCCATGCAGACCTGAAACCCTAAACTTGGCTCAGTTACTGACAACAACCAAGCTAATCTTTGGCATTTAGCTGGTTGGCACTCAAATATCCACAAGTTCCTAGGTGGATTTTACAGCCTTAACTGTTGAGCAACCTCAGTGAAAATTCTCCTCTACATCCCAGAAACTGAGACCCAGCTATGATGAGAGTTGCTAGGCAGCTCCCTAGGAACTACGATGGGGTATCCCCAATACACAGACACAACCTGCAGCCATTCCCAGAGGAAGAAGCCACCTCCAGTTCTCATTGAGTAATTGCTATATGCCATGTTACACAAAGCACATGTATGACTTTGAGGTGAGACTGTGGGGAAGGTGACTGGATATCAGGTTAGCCTTTTAAGATCACTTTTCAGCTTTTTCCATACCTTAGGAAATCATAATGTGATCACTGCCATTCTGGTGTCCTCTGTAAAATTTAAATATACTCTATGACTCCATTTCAAATTATCACATATGGAGCTGCTCTGTTATGACCCACTCAATTACTTTTCCCCAGGGAGAAATAACCAGAAAACTCATATTTAGGAAAGAAAATGTAAAGTTGCACATCACTAAACATGTGCAAACTATGACATCTAACTAGATCATAGTAAAACATCCCTGCGGGAGATGAAGAAATCATGTGGCTTGCTTAAAATTGGAATGGAAAAAGGCCCGGAGCAAGCTCGGGGCACAATCCTGCACTGGCCCTTGTGTGGTGAATAAACCAAATGTGACTGATTATGAGCTTTCTATCACTAATTAAAACCTCTTGAATTCTGAGTTCAAAATCTGCTTCATGTAAATTTCAAGGTAAAACAAATACAAGCATAGCACTCCCTTCTCTGGGACCTACCTGGTCTTGGGAAGCCAATACAGAGGCTGTATACTGAACTAATTCTGCAAAAATCGAACCAGATAGACTTGGAAGAGAGAACACAAAGCTCTGCTCACGCTAGGATGTTAGTTTCCAACCACATCCTAGAGCTCAGACCTAGTACTTCAAAGCATTGATTTCCAGCTCGAAGAAAACATGTCTGAAGAATCCTCTCAATAACTCCAGGAAGGCTGGAGTCAAAAATCTAGGCTGCCAAGTAAGAATCGTTCTAAACAAAATTCCTTAGGAGGAGTAGTCCAACTAAAATTCAAGGATCCCACCTTCACTAAATCCAGCCTCTAGGACTGACAGGAGAATTAGCCCCTTCTAAAGCACAGCAGTGTAAAAGTTTCACACAAAGCAGGCATCAGACAGTATTACTACATTCATATCTGACTCCCACAGAGACCAGAATCATAGCTGTGCAATCCCCCTTAGCACACGCCTTCATAACACCAGGGCAAGAAAAGCTCCTCAGTTAACTGTATAAATAGGTCCCTAAAGTCCACTGAGCTAGCACCATCAAGAATGAACGTGTATCACACTAACCAAAAATTGCTATCATATGAGAAGTCAAACATCTGTACCATTAAGGTCTGTATTGGAGGACTGCAATTTGCAAAGTGACTTTTCAGCTATCATTATCCCATCGACACAGCATAGATGCTATTTTCTGTTTCCATCTATGCCCACACAACTGTATGACACTTATAAATATATATACAAACACATATATATAACCTCATATGAGCATGATACTTGCAACAGCTCAGCTATACCAGGGGTTATTTGTCACATAAAAACGCTGCCATGCACAGGAGCAAACACCTGTAGTTTGTACAACAGCTTAACCACATTTTGCAGTGGAGAGTGGATGTTAGCAAATGCATGTTTGTTCTTTATTTCAACAGCACTGTGGGAAGAGAGACCAAGAATTAACGCTGCCTGTTCAGACAGACATCGATAAAAGGCGTACCAGTAAATTACCCAGCTAACAGAATAATAATGTCCTCGGCAATGTGGGTGTGTGGAGGGTAGGGGCAAGGCAGGAGATGGAGGCAACACATGTCCTGATATGCTATAGAGACACCGATCCAGGTGAGCTTGAAGAATCTCAAGGGAAATATTGCAGTGATCTTTGCCATGTAGACACGTAAGAGATTTCGGTAGGTCATAAGGACATTTGAGACTGCTGAGAGACATAGGCTAGGTACAGGAATTAATTCCCAAAGTAGAAACTGGATTCTGTAGTTTAAAGTTTGCTGCTGCAGAAGTAGATGGTTCCCTGCAAGTGCTCACAAAGGGCTTTCCCACTGAGACGAGAAGTGTCACAGCATCAGGCTTTGACATAGCCCCTCAGATTTACTCTGGGGTGACACAGTCCCTCCATCTGGGGCGGTGGTGCAATTCTCATGTCCTCAGAGGTCTCCTTTTCCCACAGATGCCCGCGTGCTCTTGGGAGAGACAGAGCGGACGGCTTGGGCGAGCGAGATGTACTGCCAAATGAACTCTGGTTTGCTCTCAGAGATTCTTTTGGCATATTGAATTATATATCCCCATGTAACTGATAGAGCTGTACCTGTGGTTTGCACAGAAAACAAAAATCCTGAAGGCAAGAAAGTGTGCCCAGAATGCTGTGTTTACCTGTAGATACCCCTGCTTAAAGATCAAGGGACCTCTTGGTATCTGCATGTGTGTAGGAGGGGAGAGATGGGTCACACAGCCTGAAGGCTTGGGATCCTTTGGTTAAAAATGTGCATGGCGTGGCCCAGCGGAAGGATGCGGTCCCTCCCCGTGTCCCCTCGCAATAGCACCGCGAGAGGGAAGGGATTCAGCTTTCTTTGCTCTTCTCCATTGAAGTCTACGCAGGGGCAAGGGGGAGACAAGCAGACGTGCCGATCATGCAACGTTATGTATCCTCGGATAACAATAAACCCTTACCGAGCAAAGGAGCCAGCCGCCGGCCGCCTGATCCCGCTTCGGGAGGCACGGCACGGCACGGCACGGCACGGCACGCCCCGCACCCACCCCCTTCTCCGGAGGCGCCGCACTGACCCACATGTTCGGCGACCTTTCGTCACGGGTGACACGGGCAGGCGACCCCCGGCCCCGGGCACGTCCCGCCGCCCCGCTGCCAGCACCTAGGCCAGCGGCTCCGCGCAGCCCCGCCACGCCACGGGAGACCGCGGTGGGGAAGGGTCGCACGCAGCTAATGGCGCTGCACGGGCGGCAGAGAGGGGGCTGCGAGGGGCGACCTGCTGGGGGCTGCCGTGCGGGTACCCGGGCGGGGGCCGCGGCTGCCCGGGCATCCTCTGGCGCCGTCCCCGCCAACGCCTTACCCACGGTGCGGGATCCGATGCAGCCCATCACTCCGGCGGGGCTCCGGGGAGAGGCGGCAGCCTCAGCAGCGAGTAGGCGGAGAAGGCGGGGAGCGGCGGAGGTCGGAAAGGAGCCGGTCCCTTCAGCGGGAAACGCCGGGGTGGCCCAGCGGGGACCGGCGCGGGGTCATGGTCAGGTAGGAGCGCGGGGTGCCCCCGCCGGGGCGAGGCGGGCGGGCGGGCGCGGAGCCCGCGGGGCAGGCTGGCATCTGCCCCCGCCGCGCCTCCGCGCTCTGCGCCGCGCCCCGCGAGGCTCCCCGTGCGCTGCCGCGTCCCCGCCGGTGCCGCCGCCGAGCCCCCGCTGCCCGCCCGCCCCCCGCTCCCGGCTCCCCGACGGGGGGCGGGCTGAGATTGGGTAAACAGCTCGGCCCGGCAGCGCCGCGCCGATTGGCTGCCGCCCTCCGCGGCCCGGGGAGGGGAGGCAGCGCCGGCCGGGCCGGGCCGCCCCTCTGCCCGCGGGGAGCGCGGGACGGGCCGGCGGCGGGGCGGAGGCGAGGGAGCCCGGCGGGCGGGCGGGCAGGACGGGACGGGACAGGTGCGGGCGGCGCGGGATGCGCACGGAGCGGGGGGCGGCGCGGGGCCCCTCCCGCCCGCCGGGGGAGCGGGGCGGGCACAGGTGAGCGGCGGGCGGTGCCGCAGGCCGGGAGCGGAGGGGGGAGCGGGCAGCGGGCTTGTCCCTGTAAGAGTAAAGCAAGTGGGGACGGGGGGAGGTGGGTGAGCAGCTGGCGTGTCCCCATAAGAAGAAGCAGTAGCAGCGAGGGGCTGGGGATGGATGGTTGCATGGATGAATGGTTGCATGGATGGAGGCGGGGCGGGCGCGGTTTCCCGGTAACTACACTTGCGGACCCGACTCAGTTACCGGCAGCCCCCCAGCGGCCGCGCCGCGCCTCCCCCGGGGCGCTCCCGCGCGGCTGAGCCGGCCCGGCGCCGTGCCGGTGTCGGTGCCGCCGCAGCCCGGCCCGCAGGCACTGCGGGAGCTGCCGAGGGGCAGGCGGCCCGCGGAGCCGCCCCAGCCGCCATCCGGCGGGAGGACGGCCGTTCCCCGCGGTCCGGTCTGCCCCCGGAGCCGGCCGCGGGGCTCGGGCGTGCGGCGCCGCCCGGCCTCTGCCCCTGGCCCCGCACGACCGCGAAGGAAGCGAGCCCAGCTGTGAGGATGCTCGCTGAGGCCTTTCCCAGGTCCTCCCCGCTAACACGGCAGTGAGGAGGGATCTCTGCAGATGGAGAAGGTGTGGTTAGGTCAGTTCCCTTCACAGCCCAAATTCTTCTCACCTGATGGCACCATCAACAGGCAGTGTCCTCCTGGCCCGCTTCCCCAGCACCACGGACTCTCTCCAGTCTGGTCCGTCCACCTTCACACTCTGAAATGCTCACTATTTCTCCCTGGTCCTTTGCGTCTCCTTCGCCCAAAAAGCCTCTCTGATCTCACCAGCATCCTTCCACCCATCTCTAGTAATGGCAAGTTGAATTTTGCTGATCCCATATGATCCATTTTGATCTCATCCTCGTGCTTGGAGAATTCAGTTTTTGTCAGCATTGCTGAGAAGTCACTCAAGACAGCTGATCATTCTTCGTTAACAGCAGTTCCAAAGAATAGGTAAGTTCATTCATTTTTCGATTCACACCTTACAGTTAGCCTAAGGAAGGAAAAAAATAAGGAAAAAAAGGGCTTCAGACAGAACATATTTTGCCTGACCCTCTGAAACAATAAGCAGGAAGTCTACTCAGATAAAGTCAATTTACAAAACAAAATCTACGCAGGAAAGATAAAGGCAGAGAAAAAACCCAAATCACCATCTGAATATAGGCAGCTATTTTATCTTTTTCCTTCTTCATGATATTGAAGGTATTACTATGTATGGTGAACATGACGCTGCTGAAGTGTAAGAGATCAGAGTCCCCTCCTCTCTGGTGCCCGAGGCCAGTCTGCTCTGCTGCTACAATGCTTATCACTGGGTACAATGCATTAGATCCCTGGTGAGGCTGAAGTTTTTCCACAGTTAGAGTTCTTTCCCTATTTCACTCCTTCCACCTCCCCCATATATTTCCAAACCTATCAGTTTTCATCTCATTTTTCTGAATGACTTACTAAAGATACTTTTCCTGACATGTCTACACTCTTCTAGCCTGGGTTGTAAAAGCACTGGGAAACAATGGGCCTGGCAGTATGTTAACTAGAGGTGTTTCACCATCTCTAAAAAGCAGATCTAAAAATGCGAAGAAAAGGGAAGCAAAAGCAGATTGCAATGGGAAGAATGGTATATTAAGATAAAAGTCCTGTTTTGGGTAAATGTTTTTTAAGCTGGTGGCTGCCCAGCCAGCTGCTGTCACCCACAGTCTCCTGTGGACTGATCGATCAGGACAGCTGTCCTCAGCAGTTTCACCAAACCCCACCAAACAGCATTTGCACCTCACCCTGGCCTGAGAAGATGTATTACTGACACAGCTGTGGGCAATTTCTTTTCCTCTGTTCAGAGAGTCTAGTTTCATTTTAATCCCCTTCTCCCTCTCACCCACCCACCAAATCTAAATCTGTTCCTCTGTGAACCCTTTTTGTGCACTGAGTGAACTCTGCTGTGGTTTCCTTTTCAGTGAAGATTTCAGACAAGTCACATTGACTCTTCTTTCTTTATTCCCCCTGAGCTTGTCTATCGCTTTATCTCAAGCTCAAAGTCATATCCCAAGTCCTAGAAAATGCACATTTGGCTTTCCTTTCATTAAGCTACAGTATCATCTACATCAACCTGCTCTGACTTCTGCCCCAGGGTGTGATTCCACAGGCAGGTGAGCAAGTCCTAGCACTTACCCTGCCTGAAAAGCTGCTTTCCAGTTCTTCATGGGTTTGTCTGCTGCTGCTTTAGTGAGGTGGTAGTTTACACAGAATCTGGCAAGTACCCATGCTGCTGCCAGACATGCACAGCAGAAAAAAAAAAGAACTGGAAAGAAGGATTATACCCAAGTGTCCATTCATTCACTCCACAGAACTATTGGTGTGTCTTGTGGCTGTCTCACATGTCCTGAATGCCACCAGCTCCCTCATTTTTTTAATTTGAAATCAATATCACTTAGCTGCTGGAAGCAATACCTGTCTTGGCACCTAGAGCTATGCTTCATCTCTCATTTCTAATATAGTCAGCTTAATGAAAGGATAAACTCTTCACCATCTTTTGGTTCTTAATCACACCTTTATTTATCATGTTTACATAACATTATGTGTTATTTATATTTGCATAAATCTCCATATTAAAAGTCAATTTCATTCTCATTAGAAGTTGAGAAGATTTCGTTAAGACTCAGCTTTCACCCAGTTGTTCAGCTCTTCTGTGCAGTGGGTTCTATGCAATAGGGAATTCATCATCAGTGAACAGTTTCTAGTTTATATCAAGACAATAACAGACTTTTTAAAATCAGTAAAAATGTTTATCATATAGCACCAAAAGAAAAGTAGGTATTTTACATTTTGAAGAAATACATGGTTTAATAAGAATGTGATTTCATAAGAATTATCTCGTAGGAGGGAAGTGACAAGACTGAATCTCTGAACAAGGGACTGAAACAGAACATAAATCTAACTGTGCCCCACAGTTTTTGTCCTTGCACTTTCATGAGCAACAGCATTCCCACTGCTGCTTCAAGGAACTGGAGGTAAATGACAGAACATAAACAGTTTTGTTTTCTTTGAAATACACTTTCTGACAGGCTGTGGATATTTTCTCTGAGCATTGTGGGTTGGTTCTTAAACAATGAGGCTGCAATTTTGTGTAGGAAATTGTGTACAAAATTTTTTTGATAAGTGCTGATTTAAATGCTGGTCTGAAAGATCTTCACAAATCTAAGTTTTTGTACAGGTTTGGGAGAGGAAATATTTAAATATCTAGAGAGAAACATGGATAGATCTTTTTACAAAGCTGGGTACCTCAGAAGAAAGGAGGAGTAGGAAACAGCCCCTTGAAACTTCCTAATTTATTTTTATGATAGATGAAATTATGTGCCCCTCTGTTTATTGCAGATCTGAAAATCTCCCCTTCCACAGCCGCTGTTGTGAAGGGCTGTGCTGGCAAAAGGGAAGGAATGTTTGACCTGTTGTGTTCTGTAGGTCACTGCCATTAGCAACTTCTGTTTGCAAAACAGAGCTTCAGTGCTGCCCAAACTAGGTCAAGGATGCTGCTGGAGGAAGTGCCACATAAAGATCCCTTGACTTCCTTCTTCCTCTGTTCCTGCAGTTTTGCAACAAATTCAACAGAGAAATTGAGAAACCATAAGCAATAAGCATGTGCTCCTAGGGGAGGGACCACCTATTTCTGGGGTTGTATGCCAAGGTGAATTGGGAACAGACAAGGATCCATGCCTCTCTTCCCTCATGCCCTGCACACAGAGTGGTCACTGTAAGTCTGGGCAGGGATGGGTGGGGAGGAAAACACAATTCCAGAAAATCTAAAAATAGTCGCCTTGTGACTGATAGTCACTAGCCTGATAGAGGGGCTGATAACAGCACAGAGCAAAGCAGTTTTAGAACTAGTCTAGTTCTTAACAACTTGTTCTAAACTACCCTGAGGCTTCCATCATGTCCCTGAAGACCAGCTTATGCTGTAAATTAACTGTTTGTTTGTGTTTTAAGAGACAGCTGTTCACATTTTCTATAAGCCATTGATGAATCTATTAAATCTGTTCTACCAGATGTTCCCTATATCTCTATATAAATATAAAGATCTTATAAATTATAAATACTGGAACAGCATGTTCCAAAGAAACACTGCTTATAAAATACAAAGCTATTGTCACTGTCTTACCTGCTGAGTAAATATATTCTTTTCATCAATTAATTATCACGGATGCAGATTATATCACAGTAGGTAATGTGCCCCTGTTATCTTCCTTAGCTACCACTAAAACCAGCTAAAATGAAAAGAAAAAACAATATATATCTTGCCAACTAATGTCCCACTTTCAAGTAAACATCACCAAGCACCAAATAATGCAAAATGTCTTCCTTTTGCCTATTCCTCAGAGGTATCACTGGCAACCATGTCTATCATCCCATGAAAAGACTCTGGAGAATGAATGTCCACCTTCTCCTTCTCTGATCCTTTTTAAAATCCTTATGTAATACCTTGTGACCAGTTACCATCACAGAAGACATGGAGAAACTTCCTACATGCTTCTTGCACGATGTGTCTTCAGCTGTGGAAAATATGCAGAGGCCTGTGAAGTTCATGAGTAGGAGATGTTTACAAAAATAGAATCTGTATCAGATCCATAGAGGCAGGAATCGTCCTGCAGGGGCTGTTGCTCCAGTGTGCTTCAGCGCTGGCCTCCTGCCACTGGCAGTTTGGATTCCCCAGTAAAAGCTACTTCTGGCAGAGATCTCAGTAATTGCTTCATGGAGGTAATGTAGTAGATGCCATAAGAGTTAATTCTACATCAAGCTGTATTAGCTACTGATAGGATTTTCGTGTGGACCGAAAAGGAAATGAGATAGCAAAATGACTCATGCAGTTCTTCTTTCTTCAGAGCTCCTTTGCTGCAGAAGACAAACAGAAAGGTTTTTTTTATGAGGTTTTAAAGAAGGAAAAAAAGCAGTGCCAATGTAGTTCAGATCCTGAAAGTGGTGCAACTTACCTCACGTAAGTGAAAGGCTGGGTCCTTTCAAGCTGGGAAAATATTTGAGGCTGTGTGAATCAACTGAAGGGATAACAGGTGGAGAGAGGTAGGTTGTGTTTGCATTACATATTGTGATAAAAGCTCATGCTTACCTACACTCACACCCCAGCAAGTTTGATCTTGTTCTTCCTGCACCCAGAGGCCATAACAAACTTTAGGGGAGCATATTAGTTCAGTGCTGAGATAGAACTAATCAGTCCACACCCTCAATAGTGCATTTATCAAAAACTCCTCCTGGGTATTTTATCCCATATGGCTGAAGAGATGTAATGATGAGCACCATTATTTTCTCCTCTTTCACCATAAAATATTTTCTCCTCTTCTCTTCATGGTGAATTCTCAAATTAGCCCATGCTGCCACAGTAGAGACACATGCCTGGGACATCCTGGCGTCCTCTATTGGAAACTGAACATTTGGCAGAGCATTCCAAATTAAGGACAATCTTACCCAGAGGAATGAAATACTTAGATGTTCGTAAGATACCTTAGAAACACATTTATTTCAACACAAGGTGAAATTAAAAAAAAAAAAATTCTGAAACAAATTAGAATTTCTGCAGTGGGGAGATCTTCCCAGCACATAAAGCCCTGGCAAGGAGTGGGCCACCTGTGACTTAACAACAGACAGGACTCACATGCGTGCTTTGCTGAAAAGATCCTGCTGTGTGACCTTGCTTAGTTTGGCAGTATTTCATTAAAATGCAATCAGCTTTCTGTATAACACCTGGATTTGAAGTATTGCTACAGAAATAAATTTTCAATACTCAAGTGTTTACAATTCTTTTCTCACCTTACATTGATATTTGCCTTCCATTTGTTTTTCTTAAGAATTTGTAGCTTCATGGTTTTTCAGAACAACAGTCCTGGCTTGCAGGTTTTTAGGAAGTATAATATTCTCTCAGCATCTTCATCCCTTTTTGGTTTTTATGCAGAGTC